CAAATATTTAGGATGCAAATCAGCTTTAATCTATCAAAAAAATATGCAGGGGGACTGCCGACTACAGTAGCAGTTGTTGTAGATTTCAATGACTTTTGGCGCTCGGTGTTTTCAATATTCTAAAAGATGTGAAAAGTTGAGAACTTGAGACAATACTCAAAGCGGAATACACGAAGCATGAATGCAATTAGCTGATTCAAAATAGGCGATCATAGAAAATAATATCATCATTGAGGACAAAGTAAGTGATTAAAGAGCTAACCTCCGTTACGCAAGCTATCGTAGGCATTTTGCCATTGTTGAAAGCATCAAGAATGTACAGGGTGATTTGAATAAAAATAGGTCTTGTCCTAACCGTTGCTCCTATCTTCTTTGCCTTAGTTTTCTCAAAAACAAGGCTCCTTAATTTGTTCATTACTACTACAGTAGAGCAAAAAAAAGAGTAAAAAAACATTGTTACCTCTTGCAATGTGTAATCACAGAGAAGAAGTAGAAAAGAAAATCGGAGTACCTATTGTCAATCTGGTCGACGAACAGATGGAAGATGATGGCGGCGTTCATCGATGGAAATTGATGCAGATACGAGGCAGCAGTCGCCTCGCGTTCTTCCTGTCGATGGAAGATGATGGCGGTGTTCCTCTTCCCGTCGACCATCGCTGCCAAACTACACTCATCGGAGCCCTGTTGCTGATCGTTTCCCCATCAACACCACAGGTGGAGGACCAAAAGTAGAGGATTCTGATTGAGTTTTTTAGGGCTTAAAAGCTCGTATATATATGTAACAATTAAAAGTTAGGAATTTTTTTTTTCATTTGAAATTAATTGTTTCCATAAAAACGGGAATCTAATTAAGGATATTATTTACTAATTATACAAGATTACTATTCTACCCTTATATATTAAATAAATTTAAAATTAATTAAAATTGAAATGAATGGTCCATAATGATTCTTACATCCACACAATATTTAGTTAGAATATTTGAACCTATCTCTCTCTCTCTCTCTCTCTCTATATATATTATATATATATATATATAATATATATATATATTATATATATATATATATATATATGTACTAGGTGTGAGACCCGTGTATTACACGGATTTAGTAAAAATAAAAATTTAATGTGAATATATAAACATTAAATATTTTACAAAATAATGTTTTTCCATAACAAAATGTAATCTTTTGGAGCATTTATGAAAGAAATTAAATCGTTTGGAGCATTTATGAGAATTTATTATCAAATTAATAGAATGATAACCTTACATATATCAAATCCATTAGAATTTTTTTGGAAATTTAGTTTAATAAAATTGAAATCCCCAAAAAATGACAAGTGGAAAATAACAATTTTAAAAATTTTAGAAAAAGACATTTGTCAGAATGAAGAAGAAGATGACATGTGGGAAAAGTATTTTTATTTATTAGGTAGTATATATATATATATATATATATATCCCCTAATCTAATGAATAAGTACATTTATGCCACGTGGCATTTTCTTAGCCCCCTCCAATCAAGTTTTCCCGCTTCTATCATCCAACTGCATTTCCAAAATTGCCCCTGCTTTCTTTGACTCATTATCATGCTTATATCCTTCGTTCTTAGTTCGTTCCTAAAAATTAGGAAACAAATTAGGGATTTGATTGCAACAGTTACTAATTTGGATTCCATTTCAAACTTTCCCATTTATAAAATCTCTCCCTGTTGACAAAACCTACGCCTTTCACCTTCATCACCATTATCTCTCCTCGCTTAAGAATTATCCTTCGACCGTTTGTATCTTTCCTTCGTTGTCTCGCTGCTCAATTTTTCTTAAGGGATGATAACTAAATAATGGTTTCGATGTGCACGGTTGTCATTGCTTTTTTATATTTAGGTTAAACTCTTCCCCTCGCTCACTTCTTTTCTATTTATATTAAATTTTTTTTGGATTTTTGGTTTCAAGGTTTAGTAGAACCTTGAATGATGTTTTTTATTCATATCCAATTAAATCAGCTTTTTGTAAGTAGGCAAAAAGGGGTTGGTTTTTGTTTTTGTTGTATTCGTATTCTTATGTCTTATTATACTGCTGTTTTTTTGTTGTATTTGAAGATCTCAATCAGGATTCTTTTGTGACAATCCATGGTAAATGTGTAGATTTAGGAGTGATCTAAAGGTGTTCGATGAAATGTCTAAGAGAAATACATTTACATGATCACCTGTGAGAGTCTTTATTTTGGTTTAATAGCTAAATTTGTCGGTTTCGGTATGCAATTTTCATAGTGAGCAAGCTTTCAACCATGGCCCTCAGATTAGCAATGTTCATGAGGTCAATGTCGTCACAGGTAATTAATGAATTCCACCATCCTCTTTCATGCATGATTTTTAAAACGATACTTAGCCTACTACATTACTTTCTTATACCGTACAACCCAACAATGCACCACCATACAAATCATAACTTAATTCATTCAGATCCATTGATTAATGGTCTATTTTGTGAGCAATTGTAGGAAAAGGAGAGGTGGTAACGTGCGCAGAGAATAAAAACTCAGAGTTGTTCCATGCGGTTATGGGAGGGCTAGGTCAATTTGGGATCATCACAAGGGCTAGAATTGCATTGGAAGCTTCCCCTCAAAGAGTATGTTTTAATTTCTTTCGATATGTTTAATTTACTATTTTAATTACATATTCTTTCCATGAAAATACAGTACAATTTTGGAGAAAACAAAGTAAATTATAATTATTTACAAAAGAGCAATGATTTAGTGGTCCATGTTCATGTTCAATTCATGGTGATATATGAAGTTTTTTCAACCAATCAAAACTTGCTTGCGTTTGCGTTTGTGTTTGTGTTGTTGTTGATATGCCAGTTATTATTATTATTATTATTCCATCGACAAACATAATGTCATTTTCTCACTCTTTTTAGGTTATGGCCCATTACTCTTCTCTCTTAACTTATTATTCTATGATAATTGACAATTAATTACTTATTACCTGCAGGTGAGATGGATCCGTGTACCGTATTCTAATTTCTACGTGTTTACCCATGATCAAGAATAGCTCATCTCCCTCCATGGTCAACCAAGCTCCAAGAAGTTTAACTATGTCGAAGGTTTTGTAATCGTGGACGAAGGTCTCATCAACAACTGGAGGTCTTCCTTCAATTGTTCTGCAATTTAATTGCTTCAAGGTGGGATTATTTTTTAATTTTATACAATCTTGTGCATCAGTGTATAACATGGACCAATCTGTAAATTTTAACTATTAAAAAAATTATAACAGGGGTCATTTTTGTATTTTTATACATACATACAATCTTTTATTGCATTTTACTTTCTCTCTGTGTGTGACCAACATGGACAATTTCTGTGTGTCAATGTGTGTATTTTTAATTGAAGGAACAATAATAACAACATGCTTATGTTCAATAACCGATTGTAGCAACTTAGTTTTACATTTAACTGAGGGACCATTTTTCTTACACCATTTCTGTTAAATTATTTATTACTTTGTAATTTCCTGCACATACAACACATATAAGGACCATTTCTGTAAATTTCAATGTACTTTTGTTTATTTGTTTATTTAATTGATAATGTTTCTTTATATATAGTTTCTAATAGGTTTAATCAGTTGTCACTAATACTAAAGGGGAGGGGGATAAGAAATATAGCTTATTGTTAAATTTGACGATTATTGTGATTTTTTTCAATATAGACATAAAATGGTCATTTGATTTTATTTGACGGTTTATTAACTTTAGAAAAACATAAAAGCCTTATTTGACAACACTTTATTCCTTTTACCTATATATGAATTAATGGAAAACTAAACAGCACAAAAGAAGGTTATTTTTGTCTTTTCATTATTTATACACTCTTACGTTCAGTACTAAGATACATTATAGTCTTAACCATATGAATATGTGTACATAAACGTAATTTATTGCAAATTTTAATTAGGAATCGCCAAAAATTACTTGGAATTTAATGTTGACTTCATGAAAGGATGAATCAAATTTCACTTTGATTTCAAATGATAAGAACGAATGTTATAAATTCCGTAAATACGGTTCTTTAATTAGTTATCAGGATTGTGGCTAATGATTGTTTTAACCACATAATATTGAAAATATGAAGTTATAATAAATAAATTAATAAAAGTACAATGTTATTCTGGAGATCTAAACATGACCATTAACATTTATAATAGTTTTGTGTTCATGTATCATTATTATATTATCTTCATCATTGGTTTAGTACATTCTTTTAGAATTATATCTCATTATATAACATAATCATTTTATCATTAATATAAATATAAATAATGTTGTTTATATCTTCAAAATATATTGCAAAATTAATTTAAATTAATAATTAACTAAATTGTTTTATGTTGTCCCGTGTTGTACACGGGTTATAACCTAGTATTATATATATATATATATATATATATATATTATATATATATATATATAGAGAGAGAGAGAGAGACAGAGAGAAATGATCATTTGAGAACTCATAGTTTCCCGAGAACCCGAGAACTAAAGGTGAAGCGTTAGATCAAAAAAAATGAAAGGCTTGGATTAGTAATGGCATGATTGTAATTATTATTAATTCCAATAGCATTTTAGGACTTTTTATGAAAATATGAAGGGTAATATTGGAATAAAAAGTTATTCCCAGAAAAATTATATTAATTACCTTCCCAGTTCCCACACAGATCGTATCCCCCTCTCTTTCACATTTTCTAAGGTGTAACCTAGATTCCGCCATTGGTGATCGATCTCATTCCTGCAATGGTCCAGTCTGATGGTGAAGATGGAGACGCTAGAACATAATCGGTACAATTCATTTGTGTTAACCTGATGCAAGTCGAAATCAAAGAGAATAATGATCTCTTACACACATATGATTCATCAGATCCCACACAGATCGTATCCTCCTCTTTCTCTCACTACATGTAACCTAGATTCTGCCATTGGCGATCGATTTCGTTGCTGCAATGGTCAAGTCTGATGGTGAAGATGGAGACACTAGAACTGAATCGGTATAATTCATTTGTGTTGACCTGATGCGGGTCGAAATCGAAGAAAACAATGATCTCTCACACACATATGATACATCGGATCCTTATCTGGACTCCTTCCACTTTGATCGATCACTCCACACTCCTTTATAATACCTCTCTCTCTCTCTTCTTCCTCTGTCCACCGAACATTCATCACATGAGATCTCTTTCTTACATCGATCTAGTTTGGTGACCACATTCATCTCCTTCCTCCATATCGACTGTCTGTAAGAGATTATGAAGTTGCCTCTCCTCAGTATGAAAGAACCGCCGGTCTAAAACTTGATACGCTCCGATCACAATAGCCACACTCCTCCCTTTTTATCGTCGTCTTCAACAACCACACCTCGTTGAAACAACAATGTAACTTTCATAAGTTTAAAAAATTGTATCTATTTTGTGATTATTTGACTGTAATCATATGTTAGATGCTTAAATTCTTATAGAATCCAAAGAAAACCCATATATATTTGTTGATAATAGTAAATTTTCACTTAATCTCAGGTTATTAATATTAATATCATGATCATCCTACTCACGCCCTATTGTTATTATCTTCAAATTTCAAACAATCATCATGTGATTGTTTGTTTTTTATTCAATTTCAGAGAAAGTTTTCTTTCATCTCTACAGTTTGCTCAAGAAGATGGCTGGTTTTCTTCATTCTATTCATGTTTGATAAAAAAAAGTACCTAAATATATCCACAACACCCATGTGACATGCATCAAAACATCTTATACTTTACAACATATAATGTTTTTCATTTTTGTTTATTTTCAGTACGATAAATCAAGTGTTGTTGAAGATAAATTCAATGAACTGGAGAAAGAAGACATTAGCATAAAACCATCAAATAAATCCTTGACTTGTACACTTCAAAAACAACAAAGATCTTTTAGCATGTAAAGCTTAATACTACCATCAATGTGACAGAGATCTTTTAGCATGTAAAGCTGAATACTACCATCAATGTGGCAAATATCAGAAATTCTTTGAATTGACTTCAATGTTGTTTATGTGCTGATTATGTGATGTGTTTGTAACAGAGAGGAAATGGCAGACTTAAAGTTGGAGATCTTACATCTGCTTTGGTTGTTGGTTAGTTGGGCCAAATATCTTTTTATTTTATTTTATTATTATTCTTTTTTTTGTCTGTTTGTTTGTCAACTAAGTTACATGTCATTTTTGTTCTTGATTGTTGGAAAATATTTGGTTAATTTATGGATTTTTGACATAATAGAATTTGAGATTTTTATGATTTCTCATAGTTGAACATTCTGCAGATTTTTATGATTTATTTGTATTCAAGTTTTCATATGTTTACAAATGATTTTTGAATTAAATGACCATCCAAGTTATAAAAACATCACAATTTAACCATACTTCTTATACTTCTTATAGATATAAGCACAACAATTAGGTAGAGAACATCTTAATTAAAAAGAATGCTCTCAGATATGCCTGATGTCACAGAATTGCATCTTGTACCTGAGGCTAACATTCCTATGATGAAATTCAAGTTGAATGGTGTATCTATATATCTTCTCTATGCAAAACTTTCACTTTGGGTCATACCTGAAGTAACTAAAATTTCCTATCTTTCTTTCATCTCCATCTGTTACTGAAAACTAGTTGGTTACTTTACTACTGAACTCCATTTTACAAGATTTAGATATTTCTTAGGATTCAATATTACAGAATGCAGTCGGACAGATGGTTCGGAGTCTTAATGGATGCAGAGTTACCAACCAGATCATGCGCTATATCCAAAATGTGATAATTTTTAGGTTAGTTAACTTATTTTAAAAAAATTTGGAAGCAAACATTTTGTTTTAAAATGTACAGATAATGTTTTCATAACTTCTCTAAATCTCATTTATGCTTTAATTCAATTGATTTAATCTTATATTCTTATTTTTGTCTGATATTGAAGCCTGCTACAAGGGATTTTATTGTAAGGGATACTGGAAATTGCAGCCCTAGGTACATGAGGTGCACCATTAATCAGGTGATACATATTGTCTTAATGTTTTTCATTTTCATCTACTTTTCTTGTGAAATGTTTTAATGTAAGATTGATTTTGTTGTTGTTTGTTTAGATTCCTTGCACTTCAGATCTTTTAAACACATCTGGCATACAATTGGCTTTATTGGTTCAGCCTTTTGATTTATATGTATTAATTAATTAATACATATAAATTAAAATATCACGTCTTCATTTGATTTCTATACATCAAAAAACAGTATTCAGAACTTATAAATGATAAGCAAAAACACCTAAATCAACTAACAATTAAAATTCTCAGTTTTGGACCCAAAACAGCCACTGTTTAAAGTTGTTTTATCACACTTGAAACCTGTATAACTTCCGTTTTTATTTCATTATCCAGAAGTTTAGACTTTTATCTTTTCAGAATGTACTTTTGAAGGTCCAAACGATTTTTCTACAATTTTATATGATTTTTACAAAACTGCCTATCAATGCAGCTAAATTCTGACCAGCTGGTGAAAAATGTGATTTTCACCTAAGTTAGAAGCAACAACAGGTTATGGAAAAATTAATGGATAAACTAGATTCAAAATGGAAACTTAGAAAGTTTACGGATCATTAATTTGATTCTTAGTGATTTTTCTATAATTTTTCCAATACAGGGACATATTTGTATTTTTTGCTGAATTTTCCAGCTTTGGATTTCAAAGGCTTTTTGACCACTTAACACATTAATCCATCACTAAGAACACCCATAAGGGTAAAAATTAGCCTCTTAACAGACGTGGCATGTCAAACAATAAAAATATCAATCCCACTCACAACCCACTCATCAAGGTACAAAATATTTGGTAGAAAACAAAGTAGGTTGCACAAATAGGAACTTGGATTTCTTCCACCACTAATTCTCATAGAAGGACTTTGAAAGATTGTTTTTGAGGCTTATTGGGTGACTCAAAACATGATTTAACCTAAACAAACAATAACAAAATCATGAGCACTCTTGTGTTTATTTCTTTTCTTTCTCTGTCTCTATTGTTAGTTTGTGAGTATGCAGAAAGCAATTTTTCTGACTCCTTGGACATGCTTGAGGGTAAAAGTTTAAAAATAGAAGATGATTCTGACTTGCCATCATGTTCAGGTGATGAACGTGGTGTCAGGGTTCTTATGAATGTTGATAGCTTTGGTGCTGTTGGAGATGGAGTTTCTGATGACACAGAGGTGAATATACATATATAGTCTTTCTTGAGTGTATTGATGGAATCATTAAGAGGATTCTTTTTATTTTCATGTATGTTACATAACAGGCCTTTGGATATGCATGGAAGGAAGCATGTTTTACAGATTGCATTCACGGGAAGCAGTGCAATATTTAATGATATATGCATGAGAACTCAACTGTAAAAATGGAAGAACAAGACTCGGAAGAAGAACAAGGATCTCCATGTGGATATGATTCAAAGTATCATCCAACAACTCTTCTATCAGTTCAATCATAATTGATAATGGTTCATGTTCGAATTTTCTTGAATTTTTGTATTTGTTTGAATCATGGTGTGACGGTTATAAGTAAATCACATGTAATTCATATGTGAATTACATGTGATTCACATGTAAATCACAAGTAAATCATATATGAATTACATGTGATTCAAATGTGTTGGGTTTTGAGCATTCTAACACTCCTAAGTGTACATGCAACCCTAAATACCTTGGATCTATGTTTTCTCTATTATACATGTAAATATGAATATTCCAAGGTATTACCCTATCTAGCATACAATCTTTGATACTTGGGTAATAAAACAAGTTAGAAGACATACCTTTTTATGTTGCTTGATTCCTTGATGCTTAAGAGTCGAGTGCCCCAAGTGTGACATCTCAAATGGTTCACACAACATCAAAATACACTTGGAATAACTTGAGAGAAATGATACACTTCATGAAATCGGCTAGCCCTCACCATACACGCCTAGTGGCCGATTTTTATCAAGAATAAGATGCTTCTATAGTGTGTCACAATTAGGATTACACCATGTAAACCCTAATTGTCGTGGCCTTTCATTTCCATGATCCATGGGTACAAAAACACCATGGAGCATCCATGGAGCATCCTATGGGTTTTAGCCCAACTTGATAATCCATGGAGCATTAGCCCACTATACAAGTATGGATGATTTACACAATCAACCCATATATTTCATTAGTCTCCTTTTTGATCACTTAATTAATTCCAAATTAATTCTTGATCAATACTAATTAAATAATCTTATTAATATATTAGAACTTATAATATATTACCAAACCTTAAGTGTTATTTCTCTCATTTTAGTCTATCCAAATGCATGATGCCATGTAACCCAAATGGACCATGCCGAGTCGGGTCAAGTACATACCAAATATAGTTATGGACTTAGACACTAATCCAACAGTCTCCCACTTGGATAAGTCTAAAACTATAATTGAGTATGACTTCAAGAACCGACTGGCAATCGTAGCTCTTTAAGCCGCTGTCGAACTCTGACGTTGTAACTGAACTCTGATCTCGTCAATGACTTGTCCATTAGATAAGGGATCATATATTCCTCCATTCTAGATATCATATGGACTGAGACATGGATTATAAATCATTCTCTCTGTCCATTTGTTGTTTCCCGATTTCCGATTTATGACGACTGACTAATTGAACAAATCAAATCAGTCCAGGCCCGACCGAGCACTTACATTTGTCATCACTAAATCATCGAAGGGACCACAGATATCGGTTTTATCCCGAAGGTAAAAGGAATGGATAAACTTCGACTCATATGGCTTGTTCTACTACTTGTTGAATCATACACAAAGGCACATTTTATAACATCGAGTTACCAATGAGTTTTCGCGCAATCAATGTACAACCAACTCATAGTAACAACTCATATCTCTAGGTTTGAAGAATATAAGATATTATCGTCTCATGATCACTCGTGATAAAATCCATGAAGTGATTCAAATGAGCGCGGGTTGAATCCAATACTCAGAACTTATGAGCACTCATGAGTGTTGTAGCACCTCTTTGCTATGTCCAACATCTTAGACATCTACAAGCCAACTCATGACAGTCTTGATTCATATCTACTTCCAACATATGATCGACTGTGGATTGTTTGAATAACTTAGTCATTCGGGAAGAATGACCTAGTTTATTCTGGAAGTCAAAACATGCAAAATGAAACACAAGAATAATTGAATCTAGTGTGGTATCAAAACCTATAAATATAAATAGAACACTTTTTATTTATCACCATACTGATTACTCATTATTCATTGTTTTGGTTTTATCAACTTTATCCTTGAATTAAAAAACACTAGTTGTCCCATTCTCCAAGAATGTACACTATGTTCTTCTACACAATAGCTTTGCCATACACCAAGTATGCACTCTATGTTTGTCTATGATCTTTACTTTGTGAACTAGATCGATTGAACATAATTTTCAATGATTTTCTTTTCACACTCCCAAATCCTTATCGAAAATGTAAGAATTCCAAATTCCTATCATTTACCGAAATGTGTTAGATTTTAAACTTATATGCATTGATCCTCTTGTGATGATTATGCACAAAGTCACAAAGACTTGTCAACAGACATTACAGAGTATTCCAATGGAGATCAACTCCATGGAAACATCCTTCTTGCATTTAGTTTTTCTAATCATACACAGATTGAATAACTTCCAACTATGATACATTTCCATATTCCCATTTTGACTGTCACTTCTGAACAAGAGTTGCCTCCTTTCAGAGTATGTCAATATGGTCCTTCCAAAATTTAACACTATACTTCTAACTGTCCCTGAGCAACCAATCTTTGGTAATCCTTAGATTGTTCTCAATAATTGCTTAATCATTTTAGTCATATCCAATTCTAGATTTTCCCCCTTAATGCCCAGAGCATTTGGAAAATTTAGAAAGGATGAATATTATAGCACATGCAATCGATCCTATATATCCGAAGCATATGGGACACGATTCATGATGTCTCACATAAAGACATGATACTAGACCAGTCCTTTTGCTATAATATTTCTATTTGCCAAGTTCTCATAATTCAGATTATGAAAAAGGGATGTCGTAATCATAATCGAATTTTAGAACGCAAATAATGGACTCATATATATAATTTCCTTATGTTGAGCCGTTCCAACACAAAATTCATATATATATCCTTGACTAAAGACGATTAAAACCTCAATATAAGATTTTAGAATTGAAATGAAGTATAATTTCCTCTCCCTTAATTATAGCAAAACAACTTTTCAACCGCTGCAACTCCACGAATTGAAACTTTTGTTTTCTATAATTAATATTGCTAACTTGCAACACTTATCATAATTATCATGCTCCCACTAACATGAAAATTATTAGCATAACACGTATGCTCCTACTAGCTTTGACATGTATCCAGAAATTAGCTGGACTTCTAGAAATCAATACTTTATTCACTTTCTTACCAAAGTTCAGATTTCTGATACAAGATTGCTTTGATAAGACTTTATCAAAACATACACCTTATCTTAGATAGCTCACATGTGTGTCTAAACAATTTTAGAACTATGAAAAGGGATGTCGTAATCATAGTCTCGATTGTTTAGATTTTTGCCATTTCTCATAAGTCCATGTTAGTGTGCCGGTTAACCACGCATGCTCCACTAACGAATTTGAGATTGCAAAGATCCCAATTTCTATCTTATTTTAAATCTACTTGGTGGAAGTGTTTCCTCACCATCATTTTCATGAATCGGAGAGAAACCTTATGACACTTAGATTTTATGGTGTATGTGTTCTTATCCACGTGAATTTGTCAAGACCACAATCACAAGACTAGGTCAGTGACAAATCCAAACTCATATGGATTGAACTTGTGTAATCTTAACTTCTTGCCACCTGGCAGCACAAGGGCCTGCCATTGCTTCCATGTTGTTATGGAAACAATTGAGAACATGTAGAACTCAAATGTATAGCCAACTTTACTGGAATGGGCACAGAAATGTCAACACAATAGGTTATAAACCTCTAGTCGTGTGCAAGTGATGAAATAAAGGTTTTTACTCTTGATTAGTTCTTGAAACTATTTCAGGATCTTTTTCACTCCCACTGTCCTCTTGACATATAAGTCTATCTTGCCAAATATTCAAGAAATAGTGCGGATTCTTTATCA